GACCCCTACCTAAGTGACTGGATTTTTTGCAGGGAGCGTGGCCATTCTCCCCATGGGGAAGGATTTCTTAAGTTAGAACTCAAAGGACACCAGTAAGTAGAAAAACTGATTACTGGCTGCATCAATATTAAATATTTTTGTTCAAGATACCTGAGATACTGTTAATCAAGAGGCAAAAGATGGTGCACATGCCTGTAGTCCCAGCTACTTGGGAGGCTGAGGGAGAAGGATTGCTTGAGCCCAGGAGTTTGAGGTTGCTGTGAGCTAGGCTAACACCATGACACTCTAGCCTGGGCAACAGAGTGAGACTCTGTATCAAAAAAAAAAAAAGAGGCAAAGACAGGGGAAAGAGTCTCGCAACATCCATTTATTAATAGATTGAACCTTGTGAAATTGCTATTTCTGTATGTTTGAAGCCGGTGAACATCTGTACTTTAATATGGCTCAGCCTACTGAAACTGACAATGGATTGATATCTAACATGTAAGAAATCTAACATTCAGTAGGAAATTGGACAAAAGGTATCAGACAGTTGACTGAAGAGGAAAGCTTATGAGAGGAGATGCCCATCCTCACTAGTAATTCATAAAGTGCAAATTAAAATAACGGAGATTTACCTACCATCTTAAAGCCTTAAACCGAGTCTGGATTTTTAAGTTGATTTACTAATAAAATAGTCTGAGATACATTTCTGAGTTAGAAAAACATAAACTGGGACCAATATCATTCACTAAAGCTTCACGCCATTGCATTTGACAACTCTGAACTAGAATGAAAATAATTTTTAATTGTTGTTTTAGTGAACACCTATTTGGCTTTTCAGTGAGAAACAAATACTATTTTATTTGGAATCATACCTGGAGTGTAACTACTACACTTTGGAAATTCCCTAAATGAAGAGTATATCTGTGAAAAGGGTTAGTCCTAGAACAAGTGGACGTATTTATCTCTCAATACTCCCAGTGGGTGGCTAAAAACTGAGAGAAATTTTTAAAAAATAATAATTTGAAAACTTATATCAATTTGTTTGCTTCATGTTCCATATACATTGAAAGTAATAAATAATAATTTCTTCTTCATTCTCTTCTAAAAAAAATAAATACCAAATAAGAAAATTAGACCAAGTTGTTTTTTAACTATCCTTATACATAATAACAATAAAATTAGAAAGTTATTTTAATTGTAGGAAAAATTATTTTCCTAGATTGCTCTGCTTAGGGTAGTTTTCAGATAACAACCAATTGACCATTTAAAAAGCCAGTTCCAGTTTCAAGTAAAGGATACCTCATAATAAGAAGGAAATATTATTTCTTTTCCAAAAATGTAATGTGTACCCAAAGCCTATCTGTAAATTCCTACAGAGTTTTTCTATTTTGATTTACCTAATGGACGAAAAAACTTATGAAATTGAACATTAGTTAATCACAGTTTTCACATTATTCTGTTCTCTTGTTTCAGGGACCAAAGGTAAAGCCTCTAAGTACCTCATCTAAAAAATGGGGCTCTTTTTTTATGGATTCAGTTTCGGGACTGGAAAATACAGAAGATTCCTTGGTTTATACATGGTCTTGTAAGAGAATCAGTACTTACAGCACTATTGCAATTCCAAGTATTGAAGCTATTGCAGGTAAGGGGAAAATACTATAAAGCTTTATCTATTGCTAAACAGTAATGACCTTAAGTACTAGGATTATAGTCTTTAAAAGAAAGAAATCTTCCCACAACATGATTTATTTTGGGAGGAAACATCTTCTAGATGTGGCAACCTAGGTAGTTAGGAGCAGTCCTTCTGCTGGAGCCAACTACAAAAGCTGGATAATTTTTTTTTTTAAGTCTGCTTGGAGGCAAAGGACAAAGATAGGGAAGAATTGTCAGGACACCATGCTGAGGAGGCCCAGGAAGGTGAACCTGGCTTTTGTGGCTGCTTTTTCCTCTGGGTATTTGCTGATTCCAGAGAGAGCGCCAAAGAGGGCCTGTCGGGAACTTCATGAGCCTGCAGGAATAGGAACTGGAGAGGGCATAAGGAGGGGTGGGCCTGGCGAACTCCCTCCGTCCGTGATGAGACCCTGAAAGCCGTTACCTTAGAAGAAGGATGAATTGGAAAGTAGTCCTCATTTTCACAGGGACCGAAGCTTAGCTTCAAATGAGCTGAATCTCTAAAGTTGGAATGAGGAGATTCCAGATGGCTATACCTGGTAGAAACAAATGTAGATTCTATTTTGAGGAAGATAACATCATTCTAGGACTCAAATTACTTCTAAAAACAATTCATATAAAGTTCAGCACATAATGAAAAAATAGCACATAAAGGCACATAAAGATATGAGACCACTCTAACAGAAATAACCATGTTTACTATGGTTAAATACAGAAAAGAAAGGAATGAGAAACGTGCTAGAGACACAAAAACTATAAAGAAAGAAGGTACAGCACAAAATGATAAGTATATGAATAAATTAAAATGAATACTTACTGTTTGAAACAATAAAAGATTAAGTCCTATGGGATTTACATAAATAGAGAATTAAAATACGTGACAATGGCATATAAATGCCAAAGTGGGGCAGCTGCAGTTAAAGTGTTCTAACATCCTTGAATTATGGATAAGAGTATGTTAGGTATTAATAAGTCAGAAATGCATGTTGTAATCTCTAAGATAACTATCAAAAGAATTGTAATGATATATATACACCAAGTTAATATGTAAAATAGTTTAAGAATCCAAAAGAGAACAAGAAAGGGGAGAAAAAAAGTATTAAGGATCAGCAGGACAAATGGAAAGCATTTAGTAAGATGGTAGATTTAAACCTGAAATAATTACGTTAAATATGGATGACTAAAAACTCCAACTAGAAGCCTGAATAAAATAACATTACCCAACTATACGCAGTTGATAAGAGACATAGCTGAAACATAAGGACTCAGAAAGTTTAAATCTCAAAAAATGGAACGAATCAGTACCACATTTTGCTATTTGGTAACCCAAAAAAGAGTTAGCTGTGTTACTATGAAACGAAGTAGACATTAAGGAAAAAATCCATTAACATGAGAGAGAATTGCATCCTAATGATAAATTCTCAGTTTTCAGAAATATAACCAAAGGTCTGAGGTATTCACCAGGGACACCCTCCTCTCAGGTCAGAACTTACTCTCTCCCTGATCTCACAATGCCAAGAAACTGCTAAAAAAAAAAAAAATCCACTCTGCTTTATAGAGGTGTATGCCTTGTGCTTGGATTCTTAGTTTCCAAGTTCCCTTCAGAATTTGGCAAACGGCTTGAGGAGAAAACCCGCAGAGTGCAATTCTCTGCCCTTTCCCGTACAGTGGACTCCTGGCCCCTCAACGTTCGTCTCTGCAGCCCTACAAGGCAGCCGGAAGCTCCCCTGGATTTGCTGCTGCTGGGAGTGAGTGGCCCCTGCCACCAGCCAGAACTCCAGTGCCTAAAGGAGAAAGCTGTGGCAACAGCTCCTCTTCTGCAGGTTACTCCTTCCCAGGAATCGTGGGTCCTAAGTCTCGGTTACCTCTTCGGCTGTCCAGTGATTTCACTCTGATGTTTCTATTTTATCCAGCTTTTCTAGTTGTTTCACCCCCAAGTTAGAAGTGGAAGTCTAGTTAAGGTTTTTGAACTTCAGATTCTTCTTCCTTATAGTGGGGATGATAATACCAGGCTGCATTTTCTCCCTCACAGTGTAGATGTAACAAAGTGAAGCAAGATATTTATCTGAATTTGGGTAGGATGATTGATGATGATGAGTATGATCCTAAGATGTGTATGACCTTCTGAATTATTCCTCCTCCCTGCCTGTATACAAATCCAATACGTATGTTAGTATAGCCTACTCTTTGAAATGATACCTTGTTCTCACCGGTTTCAAAAGAATGATTTATTTTTTCATTTTGTTTCATGCTTGTACACATTAAAATTAAAGAAAGATGACCTAAATATAATTCATCCTTTTACAAACAATTTTCCTTTTAAAGAAATGGACTGTATAACTTTAAGCAAGGGGCCAGCCCAGAATTAAACTATCATTTTCAATCTTTATAGTTCATTTTTATTTTCTTATAAAAGGATTCTGCTTTTTAGTGAGTGTGTGATAATCACAGCCCCTGAATTATTCTAAAATACATGGATAAAACTTGTGAAATAGTAAGAAAGTCAAAAGTTAATCTCCTCTATTCCAGAATTTAAATATTTCTCCAAAGAATTGGAAAATAACCACTTCTCCTTTAACAACGATAACCTCAGCACACATTTCATTTTTATATCCCAAAAGCTTTCTTCACAGCACTCTTGAAGAGAACTTGGCAGGGCTTCCGTCTTCTGTCCAACTTTTCTCCTACAGAAGTATTAAGTAGGACTTGTCAGTATCAAACACACCTAAACAAATGCCCTTTTTTTGTGTCAGAGGGGAAAGGATGAGAAGGAGTTGTGTCACATTCAGTTGTTGGTTTTGTTTTGTTTTGTTTTGTTTTGTTTTTTTGAGACAGAGTCTCCCTTTGTTGCCCTGGCTAGAGTGAGTGCCGTGGCGTCAGCCTAGCTTACAGCAACCTCAAACTCCTGGGCTCAAGCAATCCTTCTGCCTCAGCCTCCCGAGTAGCTGGGACTACAGGCATGCGCCACCATGCCCGGCTAATTTTTTCTGTATATATATATTTTTAGTTGTCCAGATCATTTCTTTCTATTTTTTTAGTAGAGATGGGGTCTCGCTCTTGCTCAGGCTGGTCTCGAACTCCTGACCTTGAGCGATCCACCCATCTCAGCCTCCCAGAGTGCTAGAATTACAGGCGTGAGCCACCGCGCCCGGCCTCAGTTGTTGGTTTTGATGTTCAAGATACTTCCTCAAAAAGCAAAGTGTCAGTCTCTAAGTTAGCACTCATTGCTGGGATCACATTTTCATGAAGTTGTGTCTCGCACAGAACTTGCTATTATTTCAGTAACAGCTTCAGTACGGTTGGATACTACTGTGTAATTTACCTCCAAGTAAGAAGAATGGGTGGAAGAAAAATAGTGTTATGGTCATGGCCTTAGACATGTTGAAGATAGAATTTTTGTATAAATGTTATCCTGCTAATCTCTTTTTTTAAAAAAAAAGTCCCAAGAATTATTCTGTTTCTCTCCATACTATTTTACATTGAACTTACTGTGTAAGAATATTTATTTATTTTGGTTCACTTCATTTAATTGTTACCTAAATGTGGATAATGTGGCTGATATTATAATGTATTTAGTACACAGTAGAACATTTTGGTAAGAAAGAATTTGGTTCTTTGTCTCCCTTTCTTTTTTCTTCCAGATAGCACCCGCAATGACTTTTCTATGACAGAGACAGATTCTTTTCCTCTTGCTGAATCCCCAGTCTCAAGAAGCCACAGTCTGGGGATTCTCATTTTAACAGAATAGTCATCTGATCTCAGTTTTACTCTCCCCTACTCAGATTTCTTAACAGTGATAGACCTTTTCTGTTACCTAGGAGAAAGAATAAAATCAATTTGTTTTTAATGAAATAGGAAGTAAAAAACAACCTGATACTTCCCTTTTGCCTCTCAAAATGTTTTTTTATTTACGTAGTGTTTCTATATTTGTGGATATCCTATTAGATGTGGTTATCTCATCCACATTTAAATACCTAGAAGCCATTGTTATAGCTGTTATAAAAGCTTGTATTTATTAGCCACATATGTTACAATGGTAGTTTGGTTTATTAGCATTTCGATAAGGTCATTATTTTTAACTTTATAATATCAATAATAGGTATACATAATAATAGATACATAGAGACTTATCCAGGTGGCAAAAGAAATATTGAAATTATGCATCTCAAAAAAAATGTTTCATTATCAGTGAATATCAAATTTTGATTTGTTTATAGTTATGAAAGGCATTTGGAGACCACTGGAATAATGAGATTGTTCTTTGGGTTTTTTCCCCCAGAATTACCTCTGGACTACAAATTTACAAGATTCTCTTCAAGCAATTCAAAAACTGCTGGCTACTATCCAAACCCTCCATTGGTCTTAATCAAATGATGAGACACTGATAACCAAATAAAAATTCTTTACAATTGAAGTGAAGAACCACATATGCAGCAAATGTACTGTAAAAAGAAATGTTAATTTTCAAAAAATACTGTAATGCTTTAGTAAAATCCTTTATAGAAATAAGTTTTTAATGAAACTTGACCAAGAAATTGATATTTGTCCATAAGTCTCCTTTCTATATAAATCATTTCGATGTTTAACAATTCTCATTAAAATTTCAGTATCCTAGAACTAAAAAGAACCTTATTTATATTTTCTATACCACTAGTTTTGAGATTAGAATTCAGCTGGGGAGAGATACACAAGCATACACACACATTTACACATATGCCTAGTCCAATGGTTTTCAAAGTGTGGTCCACGGTTCAATAGCAGAGTATTACCTAAGAACTTCTAATGCAAATTTGTGGGCCCCATCCCAAACCTCCTGAATCAGAAATTCAGGGAGTGAGGCCCAGCAATCTGTGTTTTAACTGGTGATTCTGATTCATCACTGGCTAGACCATATCCTCCAGAGATTAGTTTAATTGGTCTGAGTAGATATAGCTGAGCATTGATATTTTTTATATGCCTTAGGAAAGTACAGCGGAATTGAGAACAACTGATTTATACCAGTTCCTTCAATTGATAGCCAAGAATGCTGAGTCCAGTGAAATTAAATGATTTTTCCAAGCTATTAGGTTCTATGCTATTCCTGTGTTTTTTCAAAACAAGGAAATAAAGAGACACAATTTCTTCTGAGAGCGCAAAGCCAGTATGGAAAAGAGTGAGTACTGGAAGTCACCTGTCTCAGCCTCCATTGTTACCCATTAAGTTTCCCCCTCCCAATAATGTTAAATGTTTATTTGTTTTCATTAATTTTAAGCCATGCATTCTGAATGGGGACAAAAATTGGTTCTTGAGGTAGAAAGAAAACCTCTTAGATAACACAGTGGGTATTATAGCCTTCCAAAAGCATAACCCTACCCAACAGAATCTTATTCCTTAGTATTAATCTCTCTCGTTAGGAAGAAATTTAATTTATAGCTATTAAAGCTATTAATTTAGTTTAATTAACATTAAATTTAATTTTTCTCTTTGGGAAGGAAAACGATAATGAAAAAAGAGTTTGAGAAAAAACTGCTTTAAGAGGTCTTATAAGTATACTATAATCCAGGATTGTTGTGTTCTCTGTGCTATGTATAAGTCATAGTAGCAGCTATTTGTTGCAAGCTCTTTGGAGCCAAATAATGTTTACAATATTAGCTCCTGGCTAATCTTTATGCTCTAAGTTCACTCTATCCATCAGGGACAGTATTAGAAAACACACTGGTCACTATCATTATTTTACCTGGATTATAGAAGAGAATTTAGTATATCAATATATGCAATGAAAAGAAAAATATTTTGTTAAAATTTGTAAATGTCAAATGAATCCCAAATATACTGTGTGGGTGAGTATCTCAGGGTAGGTAAAAAATTATTGAAATTTTTTCTTCAAAGTCAGTAGCTTTGTTTGATATCTATCAATAAATATATGGTGATGTACTTGAAATTGGAATATCATTGGAATATTATGAGCAACACAGTCAAGCTTACAGCTAAATGAAAGATGCTATCTCATGTATGCTTTAAATAGACTTTTGATTTCTTTTAAAAATAAAGCTATTTTTCCTTATGCATGTTTATTCTGTAAATGCCAAAGGATACATCTTTAAATGCTTATAAACTGCTGTTAATACAAAAAGGGAGAACCCCAGGTAAGAAAGTAATTGCACCAAGAAGTGGGAAAAAAATTCACTTAAGTCGAAAGTTCTAGTCCTACTTTTGCCAGTTATCTACCTAAAGACCTGAACAAGTTACCACCTAATTTGACCTCAGTTTTTTCCATCTTGTAATAAGAGAAGGTTGGAGTTTAAGTTTCCTTCTACCTTTCTAGCATAGTCAGTGCTTCTAATAAATGTTGTTTTTCCACTAGACTGTAATTAGGTCTTTTAAATTTTTATTCATTGTTTTTAAGAAGTGCCGGTGTTTCTAATTGGATATGAAGTTTAAAAATAATTATCTAAAAGTGGTACCATAAAAATTAAAAAGAATATTAGAAAAGCTATATATTCTCTAATGAAAGCATATGAAGTAAGAAAGCACGAAAGTTGTGTAAATGGGCAGAAAACTTGTTTAATATTAGCACACAGGCAAACATCATCTAAAAGATATCTAAAAATGCAAGGAAGCTGAGATTTTCTTTGCTGGCCACTGTTGATCTCAGCAGCAGAAAGATCTGAATGACTCAGTGGTCAAATATTTTGTCAGAATTTGTTACTTATAATATTGAGGTAGGAGAAACTTCAGTTGAACCATGAATTGCAATCTAAAATCAACTTCTGAGTTCAATGAACTCTAAATTGAAATCAAGTATTATTTCCCCACCAACATTCATATCCAAAACTAACTTTATATATGTATGTGCACACATGAAAATCAAATATTATTTCATTTAACAAACCAGCATAAAATGGAATGTCAAACTATATATAATAACTTGGGGGCTGGGCATGGTGGCTCACACCTGTAATCTTAGCACTCTGTGAGGCCAAGGCAGGAGGATCACTCGAGGTCAGGAGTTTGAGACCAGCCTCAGGAGCGAGACCCCATCTCTACTAAAAATAGAGGGAAATTAGCCAGACGACTAAAAATACATAGAAAAGATTAACTGGGCATGGTGGTGCATGCCTGTAGTCCCAGCTGCTCAGGAGGCTGAGGCAGAAGGATTGCTTGAGCCCAGGAGTTTGAGGTTGCTGTGAGCTAGGCCGATGCCACAGCACTCTAGACCGAGCAACAGAGTGAAACTCCGCCACAATAAATGAATAACCTGGAAAACATGTTAGAATCACATGAGTAGCTTTTAAAAATGTACAGCGGTAACATTCATTCCCTTTCCTCTTCTCAGGCTCTTGAGCACAGATTGTCATAAGAGTTGGCTTCCAGATTCGTGCAAGACTGGAATACACTTGACTACTTTTATTAAAGTCATTAGGGGCACGGAGGGACAAGGCAGAGTCTGGGAGCATCCGCTGCCACCATGTGAGCGCAGGTGGAGACCATCTCCCCAGGAGACAGGTGCACCTTCCTGAAGCGTGGCCAGACCTGCATGGTGCGCTGCCCTGGGATGCTTGGAGATAGAAATTTGATTCCCCCTGGGACAGAAACAAGCCCTTTAAGTTTCTGCTAGGCAAGCAGGAGGTGATCCGAGGCTGGGAAGAAGAGGTTGCCCAGATGAGTGTGGGTTGGAGAGCCAAACTAACTGTATCTCCAGACTATGCCTATGGTGCCACTGGGCACCCGGGCATCATCCCAAACATGCCACTCGCCTTCGATGTGTAGCTTCTGAAAGTGAAATGACAAGAATGGCCTCCTCCCTTAGCTCTGTGTTCTTGGACCTGCCCTGGAAGGATCTAGTGCCTCCAAATGTGTGCACATGAATCCATATGGAGCTTTTCCTGATGTCCCCCTACACGCTGTATAAGCATCTACCCCAACTGAACGTGTTCTGGCACTCAGCTTTGCTTCTGACACCTCCATTTCCTCCCCTCGTATGTGTGTTTATGCCACACATAAACTATGCCATAAACCTCAAGTTATTTTGTTTTCATTTTGGGGTGAAGATTCAGTTACAATCTTTTCAATCTAGGTTTTCTAGTAAGTGTATGGTCAAGTATTAACAGCACAAGTGATAGGTTAACTTTAGAATGGGAATCGGTGTGTGTTAGGGGGGGTGCAAGAATCTTTATTTTTTTGGATGAAGTTTTTATCTATTATGTATTAAACATTCTTGCTTAAGAGCTGAATTATTCTCCAAGTTGAGAGCTGTCCTTGGGTTAAATTAAAAGGCCTACCCAAAACTGAAGTGAGGAGCAGGGAGAGCCTTTGCTTCCACCAGCTCCACCTCACCCTCCCATTAAACCCTCTGCCTTTTGAAAGCAGATCATTTTCACTGTGATGTTGGACACTACAGGTATCTGTCCCTGGGCTAACAAGGACTCTGAAGCCCTCTTCATGGCCTGGCTCATTTTTTTTTCCATCCTATGGTTTTTCTAATGGACTTTCAGGAATTTCGTAATCTCATAACTTATCAAGCTCCACCACTTCCTAAACTTAAAGAACATTAATTGAAAGTTTAAATTTAAGGTGCTGTTTATAGATTTAACACCCAATGAAAGCCCAGCCATCATGACAAATCCTTGAATGTTCTCTTAAGAAAATGATGCTGGTCATCACAGCTTCAGCGTCTCCTAGTTTTTGATGCTTGGTTCCCTCTGCTGATCGCAGTGTTTCCTGGCTTTTGTTCCCACAACCTCTTCTCAACCCTTTGTTATACTGTGCAGTTATTTGTGAGAGAAATTACTGCTGCCCTTCTCCCCTGTGGCACCACATTTGAGTTTCACGTTTTATTATTACAATAAAAGTGCTTTATACTGGAACCCATTCTACTAAGTGAAATATCCCAAGAATGGAAAAATAAGCACCACGTGTACTCACCATCAAATTGGTTTTAACTGATCAACACCTAAGTGCACATATAGGAATAACATTCATGGGGTGTCGGCCAGGTGGGAGGGGGGAGGAGGGGATGGGAATGTACACACATAATGAGTGCGATGCGCACCGTCTCGGGGATGGACACGCTTGAAGCTCTGACTAAGCTGGGGGAGGAGGGCACGGGGGAAGGGCAATATACGTAACCTAAACGTTTGTACCCCCATAATATGCTGAAAGAAAAAAGAAAAAAATATAGGAAAAAAAATAAAATACTGTGCTAACTCAAAAAGAAAACAAGTGCTTTATGCTGGCTTTTCTCAAAGAAAAAAAAACGTCATTAGGGCGTGCCAAGTAATTCACCCAGTATGGTCCAGCTGCTGCCCTTGAACATTCCTGGGCATGGTCCAGGCCACATAGGATGAATTCAAAAAAGTGTCTCGTGGTCTCTAGAACCATCCTCAGAAATAATGATAATAAGGCCTGACTCCTCAGCAGACTACTTCATATGTTATCTTGTTTAGTTCCTACAGCAACCATATTAAGTGTGTGTAACTGTTAAAATTATACAGGTAAGAAAGTTGAAATTCAGAGAGGTTACATACTGTGCTCAAATTGCACTGTTAGTAAGGCTCAGACTCTCTTACATGAGCCCATGTTTAACCCCCAAAATCATAATTTCAGTTGATTGACACATAAAGTCTTCCAATATTGAATC